ATTTCTGCTTTATTGACTATGCCAAAGCCTTTGACTGTGTGGATCACAATAAACTGTGGAAAATTCTGAAGGAGATGGAAATACCAGACCACCTGACCCACCTCTTGAGAAACCTGTATGCAGGTCAGGAAGCAATAGTTAGAACTGGACATGGAACAACAGACTGGTTCCTAATAGGAAAAGGAGTACGTCAAGGTTGTATATTGTCACCCTGCATTAACTTACATGCAGAGTACATCATGAGAAATGCTGGGCTGGAGGAAGCACAAGCTGGAATCAAGATTGTTGGGAGAAATATCAATCACCTCAGATATGCAGATGACATCACCCTTATGGCAGAGAGTGAAGAGGAACTAAAAATCCTCTTGGTGAAAGTGAAAGAGGAGAGTGAAAAAATTGGTTTAAAGCTTAACATTCAGAAAACTAAGATCATGGCATCTGGGCCCATCACCTCATGGAAAATAGATGGGGAAACAGTGGAAACAGTGCCAGACTTTATTTTTTTGGGCTCCCAAAATCACTGCGGATGGTGATTGCAGCCATGAAATTAAAAGCCGCTTATTCCTTTGAAGGAAAGTTATGACCAACCTAGATAGCATATGAAAAAGTAGAGACATTACTTTGTCAACAAAGGTCTGTCTGGTCAAGCTTACAGTTTTTCCAGTGGTCATGTATGGATGTGAGAGTTGGACTGTGAAGAAAGCTGAGCGCCAAGAAGTTGATGCTTTTGAACTATGGTGTTGGAGAAGACTCTTGAGAGCCCCTTGGACTGCAAAGAGATCAAACCAGTCCATCTTAAAGGAGATCAGTCCGCGGTGTTCATTGGAAGAACTGATGCTGAAGCTGACACTCTAATACTTTGGCCATCTCATCCGAAGTGTTGACTTGTTGGAAAAGACCCTGATGCTGGGAGGGATTGGGGGCAGGAGGTGAAGGGGATGACAGAAGATGAGATGGATGGATGGCATCACTGACTAAATGGGCATGAGTTTGAGTAAACTCTGGGAGTTGGTGATGGACAGGGAGGCCTGGCTCGCTGCGATTCATGGGGTCGCAAAGAGTCGGACGCGACTGAGTGACTGAAATGAACTGAACTAGTTTGTATTATTTATTTGGTGTTTAAACCATGGATCTTCAACTCCTGTGTTGTCTTTGTCTCATTATGTTTTCAAAATACATGTTTTCAATTGGAAGCGCCCCCATTCATGTTTTTACATACTGTACCTTTTACATTTGTAGGTGTATTTGCCAAGTCTTGCATGAGAAGATCACAATCTTAGTGACTCATCAATGGCAGTATCTAAAAGATGCAAGTCAGATTCTGCTATTGGAAAAGGTAAGTAATTTCTAGAAGTCTGTGGAACTTGCTGACACTCAGGTGTGTTGAAAGCCAGGCCTCCCAACAGGTCACTCTCCTTGGATTAATGGTAAGTGCCCTCTTTTCCCTCAGTTGTATGCTCCCTTCTTCTCAGAGCTGGTGGAATCTTACTTTTGAGGATGAATCCAAAGGCCGGTAGAAATATTACACTCTAAGCCACATAAAGCCTAAAGTGTATAGAAGTGCAAGGCTACTGAATCATCACTGTTCTAGTGAAATTGTTAAGGATAATGATGCAATGTTATTTAGAACATTTTGTTTTCCTTTTCCAGGATTTAAGTCAAATTGTATTATTTGGAAATTAGAGATACTAAGACCTGTTTGTATCCACATGATTGTCATGTTCAGTTTGCCTGAAAAGCATCTTCCATTAGTACAGGAAGCAAGGTTGGGTAGCCAAGCTCTCAGGTCAGAGACACCCACTCTGCTGGTGTCCCCAGTTGCTGGTCTTCCTACCCAGGTCTCTATGTGCCCAATACATGTGGGAGCCTGTGCAGCAGGACAAGGCCCTGCCTACACGGGGCTCCTGTTCTTATGGGGACAGATATGACAAAGAAGGTGACATCCTGGCTGCCTCCCTGAGGAGCTGGTGCCTCCTGGGGTCTGAGTGACATGAAGGTGGGGACCGTGCTGTCACCTGGGAGAGGGAATCCGAGGCAGGGGGTCTTAAGGAAGGAGCTAACCTGGCAGGTTGGAGGAACAGCAGGAAGACCAGCGTGTCTGAGGACAGTGAGCAGGGGGACGTGGAGGGAGTTGATCTCTCAGCAGTGGGCAGCGAGCCGGGAGTGAGATGGAAGCCTTGGATGGTCCAGAGCAGAGGACGATGTGGTCTGATGTGGGATTTAAAAGATTCCTCTAATGGGTCACTGGAGAGGTGACAGCAGAAACAGTTAGAAGTCTTAGTAAAGCTGAGAAGACAGAAATGTGGACTCAGGCTAGAGTATCAGTTTCTAGAGCTGTTATAACAAAGTACTGCAAACTGGGTGACTTAAAACAACAGGAATTTATTTTATTTTATTGAAATATAGTTTATTTACAATATTGTATTAATTTCTGCTGTATAGTGAAGTGATTCAGTTATACATATACATATATCTATTTTTAAATATTCTTTTCCATTATGGCTTATTATAGGATACTGAATATAATTCTTTGTGTGCTATACAGTAGGACCTTGTTGTTTATCCATTCCATATATAATGCTTACATCTGCTAATGCAAAACCTCACATTCGAAGTCTCCCCAGCTCCCTCCCTGTTGGGAACTACAGGTCTGTTCTCTATGTCCTTAAAACAACAGAAATTTATTGTCTCCCTGCTCTGGAGGCTACACGTCCCCAGTCCAGGTGCTGGCAGGGCTGTGCTCTCCCTGAAGGCTGCAGAGTCCTTCCTGCCACTGGTGTGCGCCGGCCTTCCTTGTGTTCCTTGGCTTCCAGCTCAGTATTGTGGTCTCTGCTTCTGATACCACGTGGCCATTATCCCTTGTTTGTCTGAGTCTCTTCTGTTCTCATAAGGACATCAATCATATTGGATTTGGGGTCACCCTGCTCCAAGGTGGCCTCATTTTAGCTTGATTGCATCTGCAAAGACCCTGCTTCCAAATAAGGTCAGTTCACAGGTATCATGTTTAGGGCTTGAACACACCCTTTTAAGGGGCTACCATTCAGTGCACAACGCCACACATGATTGGGAGTGGGTTGGAGATTAGGGAGAGTTTTTCAGACTTGATAATTGTTTGATATTTCACCCCTTGGTTTGTCTGTGTCTGTGCCTCAGCATCTCTGTTGTTAACCCTTATCTCTTTCAATAGACCCGTGGCCAAATCTCTCACTTATCAAATGAATTTCTGCTCTAAGAAAGATTATTAAGATACAGCATCTCTACCTCTTGAAGCAATTCCATGTGTAGACTGTTTTCTACCCCTCCAGGAAATTGGAGCTCAGACTTCTTAAGCTTGAGACCACTTACCTTCATGTGCAGAGCAGATGATGTGCTGTGCTTAGTCACTGTCATGTCCAACTCTTTGTGACCCCAGACTCCTCTGTCCATGGGGATTCTCCAGGCAAGAATACTGGAGTGGGTTGCCATTCCCTCCTCCAGGGGATCTTCCCATCCTAGGGATCGAAGCCTGGTCTTTCTCATTGCAGGCAAATTCTTCACCATCTGTGCCACCAGAGAAGTCCAAGAATACTGGAATGGGTAGCCCATCCCTTCTCCAGGGGATACTCCCAACCCAGGGATTGAACCAGGGTCTCGTGCATTGCAGGTGGATTCTTTACCTGCTGAGGTCCCAGGGAAGCCCACAGAGCAGGTGATACTAGTATGTAAAACCCTGCATTGGCAGTATTGAGTAAGAATAGTCAGAGGCACAATGACATATTTAGCCAGTCCCTAGATGTTTTGGGGCCCCCTTATTGCTTCTTTTGAGAATACCATCCTCAATTTTAGAACAACAATTTGTCCACTAGAGAGTACCCCTGGATGAGTTGGGGTCCATCCTATTTGTCTGATCCCTCTCTCACTTCAGAGGAGGGATGGCTGCCCCCTTATCCTCTTGGAATTGTCAGGGCTTGGCTGCTGAGTAAAATTACTGTCTTTGTACCACTAGTAATTTCCTTGTGCAGCTTACAGATACTAAGTAGAAAGTAGCAATTTCATTAAATAAGGTGTATGCATTTTGTCTCTCAAGTGGCACAAGACACAATATGTCTTGAATAAAATTCTAATTCTTCAGTATCAGATGGTTCCCAAAGGTTTCATAGTGTTTCTTCCAGGGGACCACCTCAGGGGATAGGATGAGAGGGGTCAAAGGTAGGGCCCTAGGGCACTATCTTCTACTTGATCTGCCTTAACCGGAAGCCCTCTTTTGATTGGTTTTGCATACTGAAATTTTGGCCTCATATTTTGTTTGCCACTGAGTGAATTAGCTGTGTCTTGTTTCATGGGGTTAGAAAATAGCAAAAGCATCTGCATATGAGAGTTCCAAAGAATAGCAAGGAGAGGTAAGAAAGCCTTCCTCAGTGATCAGTGCAAAGAAACAGAGGAAAACAATGGGGAAGACTAGGGATCTCGTCAAGAAAATTAGAGATACCAAGGGAATATTTCATGCAGAGATGGGCACAGTAAAAGACAGAAATGGTATGTACCTAAGAGAAGCAGAAGATATTAAGAAGAGGTGGCAAGAGTACACAGAAGAACTGTAGAAAAAATATCTTAACAACTCAGATAACCACGATGGTATGATCACTCACCTAAAGCCAGACAGCGTGGAGTCAAGTGGGCCTTAGAAAGCCTCATGATGAACAAAGCTAGTGGAGGTGATGGAATTCCAGGTGAGCACTTTTAAATCCTAAAGGTGATGCTGTGAAAGTGCTGCACTCAATACGGCAGCAAATTTGTAAAGCTCAGCAGTGGCCACAGCATCAGTGGCCACTGATGCTCAGCAGTGGAAAGCATCAGTTATCATTCCAATCCAAAGAAAGGCAATGCAAAGAATATTCAAACTACCACACAATTGCACTTATCTCACACTCTAGCAAAGTAATGCTCAAAATTCTCCAAGCTAGGCTTCAACAGTACATGAAATGAGAATTTTCAGATGTTCATGCTGTATTTAGAAAAGGCAGAAGAACCAGAGATCAAATTGCCAACATCCGTTGGATCATAGAAAAAGCAAGAGAGTTCCAGAAAAACATTTACTTCTGCTTTATTGACTATGCTAAAGCCTTTGTCTGTGTATATCACAACAAACTGTGGAAAATTCTTCAGGAGATGGAAATACCAGACCACCTTACCTGCCTCCTGAGAAATCTGTATGCAGGTCAAGAAGAAACAGTTAGAACCGGACATGAAACAGCAGACTGGTTCCAAATGAGGAATGGAGTACGTCAAGACTTTATATTGTCACCTTATATATTTAACTTCTCTGCGGAGTACACCATGTGAAATACTTGGCTGGATGAAGCACAAGCTGGAGTCAAGATTGCCAGGAGATTTATCAATAACTTCAGATATGCAGATAATACCACCCATATGGCAGAAAACAAAGAAGAACTAAAGAGTCAGTCTCTTGATGAAAGTAAAAGAGGAGAGTGAAAAAGCTGGCTTAAAACTCAACATTCAAAAAACGAAGATCATGGCATCCAGTCCCATCACTTTATGGCAAATAGATGGGGAAACAAAGGAAACAGAGACAGACTTTATTTATTTATTTATTTTGGCTCCAAAATTACTGCAGATGGTGATTGCAGCCATGAAATTAAAAGACGCTTGCTCTTGGGAAGAAAAGCTATGACCAACCTAGATAGCATTTGAAAAAGCAAAGGCATTACTTTGCCAACAAACGTCCATCTAGTCAAAGCTATGGTTTTTCCAGTAGTCATGTATGGATGTGAGAGTTGGACCATAAGGAAAGCCGAGCACCAAAGAACTGATGATTTTGAACTGTGGTGTTAGAGAAGACTCTTGAGAGTCCCTTGGACTGCAAGGAGATCCAACCAGTCAGTCCTCAAGGAAATCAGTCCTCAATGTTCATTGGAAGGAATGATGCTGAAGCTGAAACTCTGATACTTCAGCCTCCTGATATGAAGAACTGACTCATTGGAAAAGGCCCTGATTCTGGTAAAGATTGAAGGTGGGAAGAGAAGGTGATGACAGAGGATGTGATGGATGGATGGTATCACTGACTCAATAGACATGCGTTTGGGTAATCTCTGGGAATTGGTGATGGACAGGGAGGCCTGGAGTGCTGAAGTCCATGGGGTTGCAGAGAGTCAGGCACTACATGAGCGATTGAACTGAATTGAACTGGAGGGAGGGAAACTGAAGTAAAAAATCATGTATTTTTAAAGAACTTGATTAGATTGGCAGTTTAAGCTTAAGCAGTTGCCTGATCTGAGGAGGCCTGGTTATCTGCTTGTGATTGGTTGTTTTTAAATTCTCCTCTCAAATTTGAGCTCACTGATTCTAGGTTAGGTTTTGGTTTGCTGCCAAGGCTTTAGAACCACTCCAATGTCATGGCCTTCTTGTTTAATGACTTGAATGGAAAGAATATTGAATTTGCAGTTGTGAACTTCTGAGTTTGTGGGGAAGTTTTAAAGACAATGAAGACACAGCTCGTGGATTCTCTGTCCAGAGCTACTTCTTACAGGTCTTGTCCCAGCTGAACACATGCTACTGTGACAGTGACATGGTCAGCAAAGATTTGATGAGTGACTCTTACCCACGCAGATGTGCTTGTGCCCCCCTCTGTGTCAGCCTTAAGTTTGTTTCCTGGAATATCTTCTTCAATGGCTGTTCTTAAAAATTCTGTTTGTCACATATAGTTTATCTGAATTGTCTTAAAAAAAAACTCTACTGATACTTCCACTGACGTCTATAGTTTTTGCTTCTCTAAGTGCATCACAGAAAACTAGCCAATCTAATCACACGGACCACAGTCTTGTCTAATTCAATGAAACTAAGCCATGCCATGTGGGGCCACCCAAGATGGATGGGTCATGGTGGAGAGGTCTGACAGAATGTGGTCCACTGGAGAAGGGAGTGGAAAACCACTTCAATATTCTTGAATTGAGAACCCCATGAACAGTATGAAAAGGCAAAATGATAGGATACTGAAAGAGGAACTCCCCAGGTCGGTAGGTGCCCAATATGCTACTGGAGATCAGTGGAGAAATAACTCCAGAAACAATGAAGGGATGGAGTCAAAGCAAAAACAATACCCAGTTGCGGATGTGATTGGTGATAGAAGCAAGGTCCGATGCTGTAAAGAGCAATATTGCATAAGAACCTGGAATGTTAGGCCCATGAATCAAGGCAAATTGGAAGTGGTCAAACAGGAGATGGCAAGAGTGAATGTCAACATTCTAGGAATCAGCAAACTAAAATGGACTGGAATAGGTGAATTTAACTCAGATGACCATTATATCTACCACTGTGGGCAGGAATCCCTTAGAAGAAATGGAGTAGCCATCATGGTCAACAAAAAAGTCCAAAATGCAGTACTTGGATGCAATCTCAAAAATGACAGAATGATCTCTGTTTGTTTTCAAGGCAAACCATTCAATATCATGGTAATCCAAGCCTATGCCCCAACCAGTAAGGCTGAAGAAACTGAAGTTGAATGGTTCTATGAAGACCTACAGCACCTTTTAGAACTAACACCCAATAAAGATGTCCTTTTCATTATAAGGGACTGGAATGCAAAAGTAGGAAGTCAAGAAACACCTGGAGTAACAGGTGTTACTTGTTTGGCCTTGGAGTACGGAATGAAGCAGGGCAAAGACTAATAGAGTTTTGCACTGGTCATAACAAACACCCTCCTCCAACAACACAAGAGAAGACTCTACGCATGGACATCACCAGATGGTCAACACTGAAATCAGATTGATTATATGCTTTGCAGCCAAAGATGGAGAAGCTCTATAGAGTCAGCAAAAACAACACTGGGAGCTGACTGTGGTTCAGATCATGAACTCCTCACTGCCAAATTCAGACTTAAATTGAAGAAAGTAGGGATAACCACTAGACCATTCAGGTATGACCTAAATCAAATCCCTTATGACTATACAGTGGAAGTGAGAAATAGATTTAAGGGACTAGATCTGATAGACAGAGAGCCTGATGANCAGCAATACGTGAACCGTGAACTTCCAGGTGTTCAAGCTGGTTTTAGAAAAGACAGAGGAACCACAGATCAAGTTGCCAACATCTGCTGGATCATCAAAAAAGCAAGAGAGTTCCAGAAAAATTTTATTGACTCCTTTATTGACTATGCCAAATCCTTTGACTGTGTGGATCACAATAAACTGTGGAAAATTCTGAAAGAGATGGGAATACTAGACCACCTGACCTGCCTCTTGAGAAACCTATATGCAGGCCTGGAAGCAACAGTTAGAACTGGACATGGAACAACAGACTGGTTCCAAATAGAAAAAGGAGTACGTCAAGGTTGTATATTGTCACCCTCCTTATTTAATTTATATGCAGAGTGCATCATGAGAAATGCTGGGCTGAAAGAAGCACAAGCTGGAATCAAGATTGCCGGGAGAAATATCAATAATCTCAGATATGCAGATGACACCACCCTTATGGCAGAAAGTGAAGAGGAACTAAAAAGCCTCTTGAAAGTGAAAGAGGAGAGTGAAAAGGTTGGCTTAAAACTAAACATTCATAAAACTAAGATCATGGCATCTGGTCCCATCACTTCATGGGAAATAGATGGGGAAACAGTGGAAGTAGTGTCAGACTTTACTTTCTCGGGCTCCAAAATCACTGTAGATGGTGATTGCAGCCATGCAATTAAAAGGCGCTTATTCCTTGGAAGGAAAGTTATGACCAATCTAGCTAGCATATTAAAAAGCAGAGACGAGACTTTGCCAACAAAGGTCCATCTAGTCAAGGGTATGGTTTTTCCAGTGGTCATGTATAAATGTAAGAGTTGGACTGTGAGGAAAGTTCAGCGCTGAAAAATTGATTCTTTTGAACTGTGGTGTTGGAAAAGACTCTTGAGAGTCCCTTGTACTGCAAGGAGATCCAACCAGTCCATCCTAAAGGAGATCAGTCCTGGGTGTTCATTGGAAGAACTGATGCCAAAGCTGAAACTCCAATACTTGGCCACGTTACTGGAAGAATTGACTCAATGGAAAATACCCTGATGCTGGGAGGGATTGGGGGCAGGACAACAGAGGATGAGATGGCTGGATGGCATCACTGACTCGATGGATATGAGTTTGAGTAAACTCTAAGTGTTTGTGATAGACAGGGAGGCCTGATGTGCTGCGGTTCATGGGGTTGCAAAGAGTCGGACCCAAATGAGCGACTGAACTGAACTGAACTGAATTGCCAACAGTAGTTATCTCAACAACCTCCATTTTTAACACATGAGCACACATTTCTTTCATATCTGCCAGCACCTTACACAATATTCGGTTTGGCAGAGAACAGAAGGCTTGTACTGTGTCTAGCTGAACTAGATTTGTGAACCATAGTTCCAGACCTAAGAAATATTTTCTTATAAAAGTTATATTTTAATACCAGTCAACTTTTCTTGATTACTATTTAAATTAGATTTGCATTATCTAATGCAAGTGCATTCCTCTCAAGTTTAAAATTTTTATTTTAGGGTGAAATGGTGCACAAAGGGACTTATGCTGAGTTACTGAAATCCGGGGTAGATTTTGCTTCCCTTTTAAAGAAGGAGAATGAGGAGACTGAACCATCTCCAGTTCCTGAATCTCCCACTATGAGAACTCAGACCTCCTCCAAGTCTTCAGTTCAGTCTGAACAGTCTTCCACAGCTTTGTTGAAAGATGCAGCTGCAGAAGACCAAGATGTGAGTTTCTCATTCTGCAATATCCTGGTCTGTCCGCTTCTGATGGCCGTTCAGTCTTCTCCTCTCATAACATCTTTGTATCAAAGTAAATAAGTTTCCAGGGCCTTAATCCATGGAATTGGTAGAATTAAATTGGTCTCTGATCAGGGCTCTCCTTTGGGTATAGGATGATGAATCTTATCAATATCAGTAGTGGGTACACTGCTATGAATTCCTGTGTGTATGTTTATAATGGCTCCCAGCTTCCCTTTTACATCCAAAAGCTTACTATGAAGACCCTCTCCTATGAAATCCTGCTATGACCACATTAAATCAGTTATTTCCCCTACATATTGGAATGTTCTGGCACTGCAGATGACTGATTGTCATATTTTGCCTTGGTGTCATAAGATTTGTGATAGACAAGAGATAACATGTGTGAAGGACCTGATACACAGCAGACACTGATTAGTCCCTCACATTCCACACTCAGGAATCACCAAAATTCAGGAACCATATAGATTCGGATCATATGCTGTCCTCCTGCTATCCAAACTCACCTTGCTCCAACTCGTGTGAACTCAGCTTACTGTATTTGACTAGTATTATGAGGACCAGCTGTTTTATGTTTTCATCATTGAGTGACACAAGTCATCTAGAGGGATACATTAACTACATATCATTTTGTGTGCTATTTTGGAACAAACTTCTGCATTAATATTTGAATTGGATATGTTTTGCATGTGCTGAAATTCATAATATCCTATTTTTATTCTTTAGTCGTATAATTTATTTTTTAATTGGAGTATAACTGCTTTACATTGTTGTGTTGTTTTCTGCTGTGCAATGAATTGAATCCACTATATGTTTACATATATCCCCTCCTTCTTGGGCTCCCTTTCCCACCTACACCCCTGTCCCAAACATCTAGATCATCACAGAGCACTGCTACTTTAAGCAAAGCCATGCATCAATGAATAACCTTGTGCAAATGATATTTCCTTATTTCTAATAGATTACTAGAAGTAGTATGGCTGGGTCCAAGAGTAAATGCATATATGGTTTGGCTAGATATTTCCATACTCTCTCCATAGGAGATGGATCATCTTGCACTCCTACCAGCATGTGAGATGTGTCTGTTTTTGCCACAGAATTGCAAATTAGGGCATTGTTGAACTCATGTAGTTTTGTAGTTCATTATTTAAAATTTTTTCTTTCACTGCCATTTTTCCCTCCAAGACTGAGAATATACAGGATACACTATCTGAGGAGAGACGTTTAGAAGGAAAAGTTGGTTTTAAGACCTACAAGAATTACTTCAGAGCTGGTGCTCACTGGTCTGTCATCATTTTCCTTATTCTAGTAAGCATAGCAGCTCAGGTAAGTAAGGAAACTTATTTTGGTGTGTGCCCTTAGCTTGATATTCACATAATGTTTATACTGTATCTATTTATTTAATTATTATTATGTTTATGAAGAGATTTATTTTAAAAAACTGGCTCATGAAGCTGTGGGATCTACCTGGGTGAATCTGAAAGAAGAAGAACAGGCCTGCAGGCTAGAACCTCAGGCAGGAGCTGCAGTCTTAAGGCAGAATTTCTTCCTCCTCCAGGAAGCTTCAGGTTGTGCTCTTATAGCCTTCAACTGACTGGATGGGGCCCACCACATTGTTGATGGTTATTTTTACTTAAGTTGACTAATTATAGATATGAACCACAATCCACATAAAATATCTTCACATTAATATCTAGAGGAGTGTTTGACTAAATGACCAGAGACTGGAAAGGCCAAGGTGACACAGAAAACTGACTATCACAGTACCTGTCAAGTGTCTTCCTTCAAAACCCCAAACATTTTCACTACTACTTTTTTTTCTTTTTTTGCATGTACTTGGATTTGCATTCAAATGTGCTATCTTTGGGTAGCAAAATAAGTGAGGCTTATGGGTGTTGTGTGTTTGTGACAGATTCTAGAAAAAAAAAAAAAAGAATGCCTTTTTGAGATATTAAATTATAACATGCCCTCCCCTGATCTCTCGTCATCTGGGATGTGGGGCTTGGCACAGACCTGAGTCGGAAGGGCTGTCTCCCTGTTCTGGAGTCTTCCCATCCCCCATCCTGGTGAGCGGGGCGTGAGGGCTCAGTAATGTCAGTGTGTGAGTGACTGTTGTTTCCTGCTCTAGGTCGCCTATATCCTGCAGGATTGGTGGATTTTAAACTGGTGAGTGATTCCTGCTCTGACCCAAAGTGCTGTAAAGTCTACATAAAGCCTCACTTTCCCACAGAGTCAGGGGGAGGGGTGGGGATTGTACAGCCTCCTCTTCTGACCCTCATGTAGTTTCCCTGAAGAAAAATCACAGTTCCTGCTGTACTGTGACCCTCCCATGGTCTCTCCCCATGTCTCACTCTCAGAAGCTTCCTCACAGACAGTTCTGAGAACTGAAAGTCGTGATTCAAATGGTATCTCTATAAGGTAGAGATACATAGGGTTCTTAGAGCTAGGAATCATTTTCTAGCATTAAATTCATCTCCTAAATCAAGATTAATTTTTTTCTGGTGTATATATATCTATATATCTATATTCTATCTATAGCATAATATTTTTTTCTTCCCTATTCCATAGGGCAAATGAACAGGATACTCTGAATATCATGGCACTTGGAAAAGGAAATAAAACGGAGAAGCTTGATCTGAACTGGTACTTAGGAATTTTTTCAGGTAAAGCCGAATCACCTGGTCTATTATACTAGAGTCTGAGGTGCTTACAAGGAGCCTGCATGAGCAACTAGGGCTTCTAGGAGAAATTCAGAAATACCTCAACAAATAACAGTCTCAGTCGGATTTACTCTATGAATTAATTGGAATAATTATTTTAAAAATCTACTAGAAGAAGGTGAATGAAGACCCTTAATTTGCTGTGTACTGGATTTTGGAAGTTAAACTAGAACTGAACATTCAGAAAATCAGCCACTGGAAACATGTGCTACTGTCTATTCTAATGGGTTGCTTTATCTAAATCTTATTATATGGATGGACGAGGGGATTAGAAATGGATCCCCACCCTGTGGTTTGAATTTTTCCAGTTCTGTCTGAATAAACCCTGTCTTTTATTGAACTTAGATGAATTCCTCTGGCAGCAAGGGCCCCCAAGCAAAAGCACTGTTTCCTTGCAGGTATGCAAACTCCCCTTTGCCACACTGCTCATCTCTTGGGCTTCACCAATTACTTAAGAGTGAAGCTAAGTAGGGAGAAATCCAGTGTCTGGGAATTAATTAGGATTCCTTCTCTTTCTTACCTTGAGATCACAATGTTATTACACCTCCAATTGTGTGATTAATTTAACATCTGGCTTGCCAGACTAATATTAATTAACATGGCTCTGTTTTCACAAAAGTGCCTAGAATATGTATAGCATTTCATACTTTCAAAAGGAAATCCTCATCTAAAATTTTAAAATATTTTTTAAAAAGTAACAAATAAAATTTTAAAATATTTGCACAAGAAACACACATACTAACTTTCTGCAAAGATAGAGTGAATTATATCTTTGTAAGAACCTACTCATTGAAATTTGTATTTCTTTTGTTGATCACTTGCTAAGAAACCTAAATCCGTTAGCTGTTTACCTTCTGAATTGGTGGACTGTGGGGACTTAAAGGAAGAAGACAAAGATTCTGTTGTATATTCATTTAGGATAGTGGGCTAAGACAAATGCCTGTTGATAGAATTCAGGAATTCGAACAGCTTCCAGAGTTGGAATAACAGTGATGTGAAAAGCTGAAGGAGAAAAAATACTTGATGGAATATTTATAACAGAAGTGATTTCCAGTTTCCTTAGTATCATGGGTTCAAGAGATGTTTGGAGGCTATTTTAATTTTTATATGCATAGTAAGTACTCATTTATGTCATTAATAAAAAAGTTAAATAATTATGTGCATTTACAAATGCTTTTTGTTTCTATAAAACAGTGAGATTAGATGCTCTTTTAGGTTAATTACCTTGTGTTAAGATATAATTTGTATCTTCTTGCAATTCAAGTATTTAAGACATTTTCTACTTGTAACTTAGTATGGTATTTTCCTATTTTTTTAAGCTACTGCATATTTTGTACAATGAAATGAAATAATTTCTCCTGTTTCCTGTTAATTCACATGCTGGTACCAAAGAATACCACAATTTCACATTATGGAAAATTTTGTAAATAGTGAGATTTGAAATGTGGAGAAAGAACGATTAACTACTTTTTATAATTAATTTTTCTTCTGAGTTTTTTTTTTTCTGAGTTTTTATTAGAACTTGCAAATTGAGTTTGGAAAGCCTAGAGTGAAATTGCAGTTTACACCTCACTTTTTCTTCACACGTGGTTTCTGTTTAGTGAAAGGAAAATACTGATTTTCATATTCTTTTTAATAAATGGATCTTGTGAATGCATTAAAAACTCTTACAGAATCCATTCTATATATGTATCTAAACTTATTTATTTCACATTCTATATATAAAATTTATATGTAAATTCTTTTTAGAGTGGAAAATACATAATATCTTTATAAACTGCCTGCTGTACTTCAGTATCGTTGAAGAAAAGGCAGAGATTTTATGTTATGAGTGACATTTCTTTATTTCAGGTTTAACTGTAACTAGTCTCCTTTTGGGTGTCACAAGATCTCTGTTGGCATTGTACATCCTTGTTAATTCTTCACAAAATTTGCACAACAAAATGTTGAAGTCCATTTTGAGAGCTCCGGTATTGTTCTTTGATAGAAATCCAGCGGGTAAGTCAGACGCCAAGTTTCTCAGTAAATATATCTTAACACATTTAGTGCTTTGCCATGTTCTGGTATTTGAAAATGGAAGAGATGCTTGGAAGAAATCACTGTGCGTGTTGATTCATTTTCTACAAAAATCTTCAGTGATATTTTTCTCTTACTAGAGAAAATTTGAATATAGGCCCATATAAGCTTTTCATTTATGTGTGTGGGGGAAGATAAATTAATGTTCACTTAGCAGAATGATTTAGGAATCCATTCATTGTGTGGCTTATGAAATATCATATATTTTGTTTAAAAATGTATTTATTTTAATCAGAGGATAATTAATTTACAATATTGTGGTGGTCTTGCCATACATCAACATGAATCAGCCACGGGTGCACAATTGTCCCTTTATCCTGAATCCCCTCCCACCTCCGTCTCCAATCCCTCAGGATTGTCCCAGAGTACCGGCTCTGAGTGCCCTGCTTCATTCATTGAACTTGCACTGATCATCTATTTTACATATGGTAATATACATGTTTCTATTCTATTTTCTCAGATCATCCCACCCTTGCCTTCTCCCACATAGTCCAAGAGCCTGTTCTTTACATCTGTGTCTCTTTTGCTTCCTTGCATACAGGATTGTCATTACCATCTTTCTAAATTCCATATATATGTGTTAATATTCTGTATTGGTATTTCTCTTTCTGACTTACTTCACTATGTATAATAGACTCCAGTTTTATCCACCTCATTTGAACTGACTAAAATGCATGTTTTTTAGAGCTGAGTAATATTCCATTGTGTATATGTATCATAACTTCCTTATTCATTTGTCTGTTGATGAACATCTAGGTTGCTTTCATGTCCTAGGTATTGTAAACAATACTGTAAGAACATTGGGGTGCATGTGTCTCTTTCAATTCTGGTTTCCTTGGTGTGTTTGCCCAGCAGTGGTATTGCTGGGTCATATGGCAATTCTATTTCCAGTTTTTTAAGGAATCGCCACACCATTCTCCATAGTGGCTATACTAGTTATCATTCCCACCAACAATGTAAGAGGAAAACACCCTATATTTGATGTAAACATATTTAAATGTCCTTGACTAGTTGCTCAAACATGGACTCTTAAATAGCATTAAGTTAGGTTGCCCTATATGAAAAACCTTCTTACAAGTAATCTCCCTATAGGACACAGGCTGTATGTTTCTTTCCTTCATTGCCCTTTCATTCCTGGAATCACACAGCTCTGGCGTGTTCACCAACTATGAGATTTTCCTAATAAGGTGATGACTTCCAATCACATATAAGAGGCTTTGTGTTACCTAACAGGTGAATCTTCAATAGTAAATTTCGAATATGAGTGTCCTTGGAGGTTTACCAGTGGTTGATGCCTCCACCTTGAGGCCTTTCACCTGTCTTTGGAAGGTAACCTCCTGACTTGGGTTTCTATGAAGAGTTAGTTCATCAGTTAATTGGACATGCTCACTCTGTCCAGTTAATTAGACTTGTGCTGAGGCCCATGGCAGCTTTGTTTTTGCAGGTGATGATTGACAGGACCTACTGAGGTAGGGAGGTGGGCTGGAGGGAGGATGGAAGTAGTATTGGACTGGCCATCAACTAGTCATGTGACCAAGCCCAAAGCCAGTGGATACTACTTGGGCAGTCAAATACCAAGGCATGATATTGTCATAATAAAAGTATGGACTCTGGAGCCACCTTCCTAGGTTCAGTCCTGGTGCTAGTTCCTAATTGTGATAGCTGATTGTAGTTATGTTCATGCTTATGTGTTAATTTCTCTGTGTCTTAGTTTTCTTACCTGTAAAATAGAGATGCTGTTCATATCTACCATATCACAAACCATATCACATACCATACCATGGAAATTAAACAGGTTAATACATTCAGAAGGCTTAGCACATGGTCAGTGCCTAATGAACCTTAGTGATGATGATGACATGGTGTCTGGGAACTTCGTCTTCTGTAGGATGGGAATAATGGCTGCCCTCCTTGTTTCATAAGACTTTTGTGAGAATTAAATAAGACTGTTTTAGGGTAGTATCCTGTGCAGATTTCTTGAGCACTTATTTAGTTCAGGCACTAGGTAAAACACAGGATAATAACCTGCAAACACACAGATCTCATCTTACTATGAAACTGTAGAGAGAAAGTGATTGGAGGAGTCTATGCTATTATGGCTGTGAAGTTGTTCCACTTTGTCAGTTAACACAAAAACTACAGTCATAAAGTTTGGAGCATTAAGTGGGGCTGGATTTCTTTCATCACAGCTTCTGAGTGCTCATGACCACAGTTAACCAGGCTCTTCATGTTCAAAACCTGTAGACTTCTCCACATGCCGTTTCATTTAATTTTCAAGGATTTGGGGCCAAGTTTAAATCTTTGAGGTTGCTCATCTTAGAGCAGCCAGCACACTCGTGTTTATCTTGCCTCCCTCTCCTTGTATCTCTCAGCAGGACTTCATTCCTTCAATAAAATAGAAGCCCAAATAAGTACTGCAAAGACAGGTCTAGTTTGCCCAAAAGGTTTAGGGGTCAAAAATTATTTATTTGCTCTTTTAGAGAGATGGGTTAAGTTAAACTCCTTTTTATAGTTTATTTTCAAAAGTAGAATTTGTAATAAATTATTTGTGGTGGACCTTCTTTCTTGTATGTGATGGCATAAAGAGCAAACCACATATAGTGGTTCTTTGGAAGTTGCAGTTCATACATCCAGACTATTCAAACTTCCAAGTTCTGTTGTCTGTCAATCAAGGAACTGAAACTGTTAAACAACTAATACATTTCCCTGGGGGTTATTTATGCTTTAAAGAAGTTATGTGGGTTAAATATTTGATATCTGATAGTAGCTTTACTTCACAAACTTAGGCCTTTATGAAGTAGAGAGGAGGAATTTATCCATTTCAAAACATCAGTAGACATTTAAAAACTATTATTGGACAGAGAGTTGGGATGTAGGTGAAGATGCTGTGACATACCAGTTATACTGAAACTTAGCTTTGGAAGAGCTGTGCCAGTCACTTTTCTTCTCTTGGCCTCAGATTTTAACATGTAAGAAGTGGGGGGCCTTTTCACTCTATTGGTCATCTACTAGTTGTTGTTTGTGGACCCAAGCACTAGAGAAAAAGTCCCTGTCTTCAAGGTGTTTGAAAATGTAAATAATTGCAGACAATGGATTGATTCTTTTTTTTTTTTAATGTCATGTCAATAGTCTATGATTCTGTATAGAAAAGATACAGATCCCAAATTTAATACAGCTGTAGATTGGAGATCTCAATTCACATGTACACATAACACAGACACTTATAAGCATAGCCCTGTGGTGTATTTCTTTTTCATAGTCAATTATGTAAGTTGTTGCCCTTATTTTCAAAAAATTTCTAAAAACTGTTCTGTAACTTAAAGATGAAATATTTTCAAAATGAAATCACACCACTGGGAATGTGAGAGGAATTTAGGAAATAAAACTGATTAAAAAAAAACAATCATCTCTAAGCTTACAGCAAACTCAGCTCAGTATCCATGCTTTTGATGATACTGAAATGCTTTCTTGAGCCACCAGGGACAGTCTGGGTGCCAAAGCTCATCTCAGAAAGTGTGTTAGGGAATGAAGAGGGAAGCCAGCACTTTCATTGTTGCCCTTGGTAATCTCTACACACGCTTCTCTCTGGGCCTTTTAGAAGCATGTTACAAATATTTTGCCAGTAGGCTGAACATAAGCAATGAATAATGTTGTCATGAAACTAACTGTGATCTGTTGAATGTTTTTTTCATTCTTGGTAACCAGGATTAATTTTCAGAAATTTCTCCCTCAGGTGAAACTCTAATATATAGGAAAAAAGATGACAAGCTTCCAAGTACACTTTGAGTGGAAATTTATTAAGAGGTTGTTGAGTACAAAGCTATTATAAAATCAAGTTCTGTGTTCTGGAAGAATTTTCCTTTCCTTTCTTTTTTTGCAACTGCATTTTAATAGATTGTATCCCATGGGATTAGTTTTCATTCCAATCCCAAAGAAGGGCAATGCTAAAGAATGTTCAAACTACGGTACTATTGCACTCATTTCATATGCTAGCTAGGATATGCTCAAATCCTTTGAGCTAGAACAAATGACCAAGAATTAATTTCCAAAACATACAAGCAACTCATGTAGCTCAATACCAAAAAAGCAAACAAACTAATCAAAAAGTGGGCTGAAGACCTAAGCAGACACTTCTCAAAAGAAGATACATAAGTGGCTAATAAACACATGGAAAGATGCTCATCATCGGTTATTATTAGAGAAATGCGAATCAAAACCAAAATGAGGAGTCATCTCAAGTCGGTCAGAATGGCCATCATCCAAAAGTCCACAAACGATAAATGCTGGAGAGCATGTGGAGAAAAGGGAACCCTGTTGCACTGTTGGTGCAAATGTAAACTGATACAGCCATTATGGAAGACAGTATTGTTATTGCTGTTCAGTCATGCACTCCTGCTTCACTCTTTGTGACCCCATGGACCACAGCACGCCATGCTTCCTGTCCATCACCAACTCCCGGAGCTTACTCAAACACATGTCCATTGAGTTGGCGATGCCATCCAACCATCTCATCCTCTGTCATCCCCTTCTCCTCCTGCCTTCATTCTTTCCCAGCATCAGGGTCTTTTCCAATGAGTCAGTTCTTCACATCAGGTGGCCAAAGTTTTGGAGTTTCAGCTTCAGCATCAGTTGTTCCAATGAATATTCAGGACTGATTTCCTTTAGGATGGACTGGTTTGATCTTCTTGTAGTCCAAGGGACTCTTGAGAGTCTTCTCCAATACCACAGCTCAAAAGCATCAATTCTTCAGTGCTCAGACTTCTTTATGCCCTCAACACTCACATCCATACATGACTATGGGAAAAACCATAGCTTTGACTAGGCAGACCTTTGTTGTCAAAGTTATGTCTCTTCTTTTTAATACACTGTCTAGGTATGTCATAGCTTTTCTTCGAAAGATCAAGCATCTTTTAATTTCATGG